AGGAATGCCAGACTGCAGGAGCCAAAGGCCCGAGACTGCAGGAGGAGGGCACATAGTGGAGCCTTGGTTCTCACAGAATGGGAATCCTTCAAAGGTCTTTTCATCCCTGGATTCCTAGCAGCCCACTTGGCCAGAGCTGGCATGGGGTAGGCCCTTAGCAAATATTTGTGGGCCGATAACTGAATGGCTACGTGAATAGACGTATGGATGGGTGCAAGAAACTGAATTAAATATTGTTCTGCTCCATGATCCCTTTTGTTGAGCTACAGAATAGTGTTTGTGGAAGGTGTTGTCTGCCTTTCCTTCCACACGGAATCGCTATATGGTCTGTTATCAGAGTGAGCATTTTTGATAAGCTTAGTGGGGAGACCTAGCTTCCTTTCAAGGCCTGATGATCAGAAATGAGAGTGGGGTGGGGGAATGATGATGACCTTTGATGAACGAAAACGAGATGGAAGCCCAGGTCTTAAGGAGGCTTGAGAGTACTGCTTCTGGACACCCCACAGGGAGGCTCCACACATTTCTACGTGTACGACTTTTACACGCAGTACTTTAGTAAACACGCCATACATTTTTTTTGTTGACTAATTTGAAGTGTTTTACCTTTTAATGTTTTCTCCTAAGATTCTAGAGTAAAAGACAAAATCCGATGATAGACGCCTCCACACCACCTCTCCTCGTTTCTCCTTCCCCTCTCTCACAGGGACATATCTCTGTCACACCTCTCCCCGCACCTGCCCATTTCAGACCATCCTTGTTATCAGGATTTCTTTCTTTTTTGAATTGCTTTTCTGCTTGTAAAGGGAATTTGTGCTTATTCTCATCTCTGACCCCATCTCTCTTCCAATCTACCCGCTCCAAGCCCCATTTTTGGCCCACTGGTAACACCATTCCAGGATGAAGTTTCTAAGACATGGCTCCAATGATGTGTTTCTCTCTTAAAGCCCTTCAATGATGTCCTGTGGGTTTTAGAATAAAGCCCCAATATCTTAGCAGAGAAGAAGGAAGCATTTAA